TCACTGACCCTCTCCGAAACAGTCAGAGTTGGAGAGCTTTATTCAAGGTGACATTTATCAAAAAAAAAAAAAAAAAGAGACTCTGAGGAGCACCCACACACACACACACCAGTATGATCTACCACACAAAAATCCAAACCAGAGAAGCTTTTCTTTTCCAGGACGGTTCCCTGTAGCCCAAGCTGACTTCAGATTCATTATGTACTTTAGGGATGGATAACCTTGAGCTTGATCTTGAACTTCTGATGCTTCTGCCTCAGAAGTCATCCGGAGTTCTCGGATTACAAGAGTGCGCCACCGTGTCTGGGTAGTTAGGTCCTGAATATCAAACCCAAGAATTTGCATTCTAGGTAAGCACCCTACCAATTGAGCTGGTGTCCTGCCCAAGGAGAGTTACTTTTTGACAGAGTTAAATAGAGTTAGGGGCTAGGAAGCTTTTTGAGGAGGTGAGTCTCCTGTTCCTAGGTCCATTCTAGGCAAGGCTGAGCGAGAAGGTGGCCGGGATATGTAGGTTGCCTAGCCCCTTGCCCTCCTCTTTCTTTGAGCTATTTAATCTGAGATGCTGAAATTACTGTAACCATGCCTCATTAGGATTCTTCCTTCTCTAAAACTTAAACTAGCTGTCTGCTGATTCTCAAGACACAGGTCCTGGCTTGTCTTCTGCCTATGGGTCAGTACATTACAAAACCTTGCAGGGCCTGGTTATTGCTGCTCTGGACCAGAACCATTGCCAGGCACCAGAATTGGCAGGCACCAAAGGGACATGAAGCACAGTGGCTAATCAGTTTCTCTCAATGTCTTGTGCCATGTCTGCCTCCATCGCTAACCCGTCCTGAGCGAGCAGAGTGTCTCCAGCACTGATTGCATAATGTGTTGTTTCCAAATGTGGGGCCGTGCCATGGCTGGTGGTTCCGGGTTACCTGTGTCCTGGGAGAGTCCCAAGGAGTTCTCTTGGATTTGGGGGCTGGACACAGCTGTGCCCCATTGCCATGCTAGCTCACTCCGGGGCTCTTTGCCTCTGTCGTGCGGTAGGTGCTCTGTGTCTCAAGTTGCAACTATTTCGGGGCTTTGCACAGCTGACCTGCCGCTAGGACGGTTATTTGGAGCCTGCTGGCTGCCCACAGCTGCTCCTGCTGGGTGCTGGAGAGGAAGGGGAGAAGACATTCTTAGGCTGGGGCTAGCCACTCCCAGCTGCTCCTGGGCCTCAGCTCCCAGCTCAACAACATTTCCAATAAGGCCACTTCCTAGCATCGTCTGTCTGTCTGTCTGTCTGTCTGTCCGACCGTCTTTCCATTCATTCTCTCATTCCTTCTCCGTAAGCCTCCACGTTAGCTGCTTCTCCTGGGTTCTCAGTCAGTAATTTCAAAGAATATTTCCTGGGTGCCCACTGTGACCTGTGTGTCTACAGACAGCATGAGGAAATATCTTTGCGTGGTGGGCGTGTGTGTGGTTGTGGGGGTTGAGCCCAGAGCCTTGTGCATGCAAGGGCGTGTGCTTTACCACTGACCACACCCCCCAGCCTCAACTGCTAGTATCTGAAGTTATCTGGGCAACAGGGGCTCTGCCTGCTTTGGCCTGTCAGAACTTGTCGAGGCAGGCATGTGCCTCCATTCTGTAGGCATACCATCACATGCTATGGCAAAGTTGCTTACAAATAGTTGCAACTTGAGACACAGAGCACCCAGTGCACGGCAGAGGCAATGGGCCCCTGAGTGGGCCAGCATGGCAATGGGTGTCCAGCCCCCAAACCCAAGAGAACACCTTGGGACACCCACCCCCCCAGGCTACCAGCTAAGTATCAGGTAGAACATTTAACACATGGGAACAGTGGCTTGTATTGACATGTAATCACGTGTGCCAGGGACTTTACCAAGTGCCCAGTGGACCTTTTATCACATCCCTGCAGGGTCCTTCCAAGATGAGCCTCAAAATCCGGCTTTATATAAATCAGACATTTATATAAATCTCTCACAGCTGAAGCAAAAGGACTCAGGAGGTTCCGCTGTGTCCAAGACCATGCAGCTGCTAAGGCAACGGCGAAGTCAAGATCCGAACCCAGGATGATGACTTCAAGTTCCCATCAGCATATTGCTTACCAGTATATCGATTTGGTTATGAAACCCAACCAATTGATACCCCAAATACTCTTCAGTTGGTGGCATTGTTTGAAGTAGAATGTACATGTCTTTGAATGTCCTGTACCCGAGATTCGTGGAGCATATCTGGAGTACTGGCTGGGTCCATCCACTCTCTAAGTGGTGGGAAGTATGTGTGTGATCATCAGGATTGAGGGAGAGGCGTCTTCAACACAGGCTCAGAGCTCCGCTGTGGTGACTTAGACGCAGAGATGAAGAGATCAGTTTAAGAGAGACCAACCCCTCAGAGGCCAAGTCCTTTTTTTTGCTTCCTGAGCAACTTTTGTAAGCAATGTCCACAAACTTGACTTGGGCTCCTGTAAACTACCCCACAGCCTGCCCAGCTCTGTGTCTCTGAACACACAGTCCTGAGAGGATGGGGCAGCCCATGTGAGATCCTTCCCATAGGCCATGGCTGGGCATCTCTGAACAACTGGTTCCTTTCCTCCTTGATGTTTCCCTCTCCTCTCTTCTCCCGACTCCTTAGAGTCCCCAAAAGCCTGGTACCGAAATCCCTCAGGAGCCAGGCAACAGAAGCTGGTTCTCTAGTGCCCAGGGGCCTCCCTGCCATTGTCTCCCTCCACTGACCTCCTTCTCCTTCCTGTCCAAGGCTTCCCCTCACCTCTGCCTCTGCAGTCCCCAGCCTCCAAGCCATAGCCATCCTTGTCAGAGTCAATTCCCTGGAATAATCGAGTTTTCCGGTTGGTTCCCTCCTCCTTGCCAACGCAATGCTGGGTAACCCCAGCCAGGCCCCAGGAGACTTTTGGAGCAGCCTGAGACTTAGAGGAAGGGTGGCACCTGACCTTCCTGAATCCAGATAGCACTGCTTCTAGAAGGTGCAAGGGGAGGGGAACAGAGCGCAGAGGCTTTACAGTCTCCTCTACCTTCTGGGAAGGCCAATCATGGCCTCTGTTCTTGCTGGCTTAGTCTCCCAGGCTTTGCTGGAAGACTTGGACACTCGGGAAGGCATAGGTCATGGTGTGGCTTATAGTGATGCCAGTCAGATTTAGGGACACTAATTCTGCAAAAAGGGTTCCATCAGAAATGAGTGTGGCATTGGGGGATGCTCCAATATTGAGTCTCCGCACGTGGTGGCTGACACCCAACATCCCAGATCTATGTCTACAGTGGGATGGCCCCCATGGGCTGCTTTAAGGATACCATGCAGGGTCATCCACAGCACATGTCATCACTGTCACTAAGTTACAGGTCCATAGAGCAGGGATAGCAATACTTATTGAAAGAACATGGCTGGAAACAGCTGGAGGCATGAAGTGTTCAGGACACAGTAAGTGGAAAAAAATGTTATTCAAAAGGAAATGTATGTGGCAGGGGTTTGAGCAAGTCCATGCCCACGGACGGACTTAATACAACTCCACGGATGCCCCAATGTCATCCACAGACTTTAGTGACTGTGTTCTAAGGAGATGGGTCAAAGCGCTCACATTTTCAAAATGGCCTATCACAAAAGCTTAAACATTATCGGTGTTTAAATAGTAGAACTCAAGCTTTGCACTGAAGAAACCAAAACTACATGTAAAAGAATCTGTTATGCTACAACCAAATATGGACAGTGCTTTTTCTCCAGGCTGTGGGCTAACCCGTAGAGCTGTGTTTTCCTTTTCGTTGGAGTGTATCTTCTTCAAACCTCAGTCTGGATCTACTTGTCTGAACTAGTAAGGCGGGGCTGGTGCTCAGTGAGGGGTCTCCCGGAAGGCTCTGTTTCTCGGATTTATTTAACTTCCTTCTGCCGTAATGCCTTTGTGCGGCAAAGATAACCTCAAAAGTAAGTATTGGCTTTCTATGAAGAAACTGGGAGACAGGTGTTCTTTTTGACCTCCTAGAGTGTATCAGCCGTGCCTGTGACAAACGCTTATTGTCTGAAAGCCACTCTGAGGATTGGGGACACAGCTAGGTGGGCAGAAGCCACAAGGATCTGAGTTTGTTGTCATCTGTTTATTTTTATTATTTAAAAAATATTGTATATATGTGAATACACTGTCTTCGGACACACCAGAAGAGGGCATGGGATCTCAATACAGGTGATTGTGAGCCACCATGTGGTTGCTGGGAATTGAACTCAGGACCTCAGGAAGAGCAGTCAGTGCTCTTAACCACTGAGCCATCTCTCCCTACAGTTTGTAGTCTTTGAAAGGCAGGATGTAGTGGTGTGTTTATAATCCCACTACTGGAGATATCCTCGGAGTCAGGAGGATCCCTGACGCTTTCGAGCTAGCCAGCCCAGTCTACTTGGCCAGTTTCAGGCCAGAAAGAAACCTTCTCAAACAAAAAGGTGGACGGTGCCTGAGAAACAACACCCTAGGTTGACCTTTGGCCCCCTCGTGCATGTGCACGCATGCGCACACACATAGGAGCCACTCCATTCTAGTTAAACATGAAGTAGGGAAGTCTTAGGGGTTAGAATTTAGGAAACCCTTTTCTTTCGTGGAGAGAGGGACTGGAGATAGAGGAAATCAACCCACTGCTAACAATAAAATTCTTTGTAAGACTGTAAATCTTCGCGGGCACCATGGCACACACTTGAGTTCTAGGCTAGTCCAGAACAGGAGACTCTCAGAAAAATAAAACATCCCTTTCAATAGGTTATAAAGTTCTACATGTTCTGCAGGATTACCGGAGGTAGTAAGGAGAAAGCACTTGTCAGTGTAAGAAAGTATAAGAAAGCACTTTGAAGCAATTAGAGGCCCTTCAAGTTGGTGTCTTCCAACCGCATGCTTTTGTCTAGAGGGTTGATTCCCGCACCCCCTTCGCTTCCTTTGCACCTGAGCAGTAGCATCTTTAGTGGTTGAGCGACCGCTGTGGGACGGTGACGGACGCCCTGTCTCTCGCCCTCCCCCGCCGCAGACAGCGAGCTGGTGCTGCCCGACTGCCTGCGGCCGCGCTCCTTCACCGCGCTGCGGCGGCCGTCGCTGCGGTGCGAGGCGGACGAGGCGCGCCTGTCGGTGAGCCTGTGCGACCTCAACGTGCCGGGAACCGACGGCGACGACGGCGCACCTCCCGCCGGCTGCCCGATCCCGCAGAACTCGCTCAACTCTCAGCACAGCCGCGCGCTGCCGACGCAGCTCGACGGCGACCTGCGCTTCCACGCGCTGCGCGCCGGCGCGCACGTCCGCATCCTGGACGAGCAGACGGTGGCGCGCCTGGAGCACGGGCGCGACGAGCGCGCGCTCGTCTTCACCAGCCGGCCAGTGCGCGTGGCCGAGACCATCTTCATCAAAGTCACGCGCTCGGGCGCTGCGCGAGCGGGCGCGCTGTCCTTCGGGGTCACCACGTGTGACCCTGGCACGCTGCGGCCCGCCGACCTGCCCTTCAGCCCCGAGGCCCTGGTGGACCGCAAGGAGTTCTGGGCGGTGTGTCGCGTGCCCGGGCCTCTGCACAGCGGCGACATCCTGGGCCTGGTGGTCAACGCGGACGGAGAGCTGCACCTGAGTCACAACGGCGCGGCAGCCGGCATGCAGCTGTGCGTGGACGCCTCGCAGCCCCTCTGGATGCTCTTCAGCCTGCACGGCGCCATCACGCAGGTCCGCATCCTCGGTAAGTGCCGGGTGCCATCCCCCAGTTCATGATGGTCTTTCTAGGCTTAGGTGAGTTCTGGGCGGGGCAGAAGCATTTGGTCGACCGGTGGCTGGGGAAGAGTGTGATGAACTCAATAGAACCCAGAAGACACACAAATTGGCCAGAGCCTTACACCCCAGAGGTTGTGTTAAAAGGGGGGAGTCGTGAACTTTCTGAGACTTAGTTTCCTCAGGGATCTGAGACTTAGTTTCCTCAGGGATGCTTGTGGCTTTTTTTTAAAAAATGAAAATCAGGTTGGCTGGTTATAGTGTTGTATAATCTGTAATCATAGCGTTTAGGAAGCAGAGGCAGGAGCATCTCTCTGCAAGTTCGAGGCTAACCTTGTCTGCATGTTGAGTTTCAAGTTAGCCAGAGCTTCATAGCAAGGTGTTTCAAAAACAGAAAAGCAAACAAACACACAAACACCCCAAACACCGTATTAGTGTCGTCTTGGGCAATTACTTGCATCAGAGTAGGGGACTCCCTGAGCAGGTGAGCTTTGGGAATGAGATTGCAGTGGTTCAGACCTTTCTTTTCAGAAAGAGGTAGTTTGAGAGGATGTGGGCTTGTATTAAGCCACACTCTGTGCCTTGTTCCATAGGATAGATATCCCTTACTGTGACCAAGCACCTGAATAGAAGGCAACCAAAGGGAAAATGGGGTTTGATTGGCAAACCTAGCGAGGGGGCGGGATTGCAGGAGTGTGAAGATTCATCGCTTTGGTTTATGCTTATGTCTGAGATGTGTGTCTGTACACGCTTTGTTCTCAGTTTGCCCTTTTGTCACCTGCATGAGAAGCTAGCCCTCGCCATGATGCCAGCCACAGCCAGGGTGGGTTTACCTTGCTGGGCATCTCTCACTGGCCTCACTGTAAAGTGCAGATCTTTGAATCCTGGCTCCAGAGATCCTAATTCTGTAGTTGTACGATAGATTCTGGACCTCTGGTTTTGTCGTTCTTTCTTTGCTTGCTCGCTCGATTTATTTATTTATTTATTTATTTATTTATTTATTTATTTATTTGAGACAAGATCTCTCTACATAGCCCTGGCTGTCCTGGAACTCATTCTGTAGATCAGGCTGGCCTTGAATTTATAGAGATCCAATTCTGCCACCTGAGTGTTGGGATTAAAGGTATCAAACCTCCATGTCCAGCTGATTTATATTGTTATTTAAAGTAAGTGTCCTTAGCCAATGTTGGAGAGCTTTGGGCTTCTCAGCTCCATGGCTCAACCCAGGAGGCTTGGTCGGGTCGGTAGTGTGTGCAGATGAGCAGGCCTCCGCTGCCTCTGAACTCAGCTTTCCGGAGAGGTCGGGCCATCCAGTGCTTGTGCATGTTAGTGGCATGGCTGAGACTGTGCGGGTGGGACTTGAGAAATGAGATGAAGATCAGTGCAGACTTCCAGCTCTGGAGAGACCAGATGGAGAGACAGCAAGAAGCAGATAGAAAAGTTACGGAAAGAACTGAAGAGGGAGAGGAAATCAGGTTAGATGAAAGGGTGCCAAGAGTCAGTCTAGGGTAAGAATTCTGGGTGGGATAAAATGAGACTAGATTGGGAGGAACACACGTACACACATGCACACATTCATGCGAACACATACATGCACATACACGTGCACACGCTTGTACACACATGGACACATGCATGCACATGTGCACATACTCACACACGTGCACACACACGTGTGCATACACACGTGGGCACATACTCCCAGGTGCGTGCATGCATGTGCGTGCACACACACACGCACACACACACACACATGAGCTGAAGCTAGAGAGACTGGCTGCCCTCACTGTGTCTCAGAGGCGAGGCACGGCACACTCCTGCATCAGTACCACCTAATAATAGCTAAGTAGCTTGCCAGTAAGGCTTCTGCCATCTAAGGGTGTTTACAAGACTGGAGCAAGAAGGAATTAAAACAAAACAAAACCCAAGACTTTTTCTGTCCCAAGTGCTAAGTGGGTCAAGGTAGTTGTCAAGAACCACCCAGAACCCAGTGTCTATTAATAGCTCCTGGGCTGTTTGGAGAATTGAGCATGTCTGTCAGCCAGCAAAATGGTTCTGGGGAATCCTGACTGACCCTAAGGGGAAAACTAGTCATGAGCAGCCTATGAAGGCTCGTTGTTCCCTTTACAGTAAAGGCTTGGCATTGTGAAAGCTCCCCGTGAGCCGATGAATAAGGGTTGTTTCCTTTATCTATGTGCACAAATCTACAGCTCTTTGTATTTACTGGTAGAACGAAACTACTTTCACTAAAGACAACCATGGCAGGCTTGCTTTATAGACCTTGTTCTGAAAGTGCTAGCCAACGCAGCAGGGGAAGAAAAGTAACTTGGTACGCACTTCTGACAAGACAGTAACTGACTTAAAATATTAATGTAGTAAGAGAAACCGTATGAGCTGAGCATGCAATCCAGGCTATTCGGGAGGCTGAGGGAAGAGGACCAGAAAAGTTTAAGGTTTGCCTGAGCTGCAGAGCAAGTTCAAAGCCAGCCTAGGCCACTTAGTTAGATCCTATCTCTCGTCTCTTACCCGCTTGGTTTTTCGAGACAGGGTTTCTCTGTGTAGCCCTGGCTGTCCTGGAACTCACTCTGTAGACCAGGCTGGCCTTGAACTCAGAAACCCACCTGCCTCTGCCTCCCAAGTGCTGGGATTAAAGGCACGCACCACCACTGCCTGGCTGTGAGAGCCTGTCTTTAAAAAGTTAAATAAGGTATTGTGACATTGGTCAGTGATTGCTTGCTTCCCTAATACAAGGGAAACCTGAGTCTATTCTCTAGTGTGGAGGGGAAGAGAGGACAGACCCACCCCACAAACATTCGTTGATCATTCTTAGAAATGATAACAGATGAGTTCCAACTAACAGTGCGCCCGCTTGTTTGGAGAACATTCTTTTAGGGCCTATGGGAAAGTCACAGGAAAGTGATTTGTTCTCACAAGCTCATGGCTCTGCTAGAGAAACAGAGCTGGGTTCTCAGACCAAGAAGAGGAAGTACTTCAGGCTATGTGGCTGGGCATGAGGAGTTCAGGGGGAGTCCTAATTCCCCAGAGACTGTGTTTGAGGACAACCTCAAGAGGCTCCCTGAGCAGTCAGCTCTCTCAGGGCAAAGACTCTGTCCCCAGTCTCATACATGTAATATGAATCTCCAGGAAGGACAGTGGGAGGAGGATGGAAGAAGGATGGGGAGAGAGAAGGCAAGGTTGCAGGACCAGAATGTACGGACCAAGGTGCCTGTGTAGAGAAGGTGGGTGGTTCCAAGGCATGGTAGTAGAGAAGGCAGGACTCTGACAGGAGACTGAGGTAGGAGGCATGGACACGGGGGACTCCATTCTCTGAAGGCAGAGATACTAGGAGGTGGTGGAAGTTGGTTTGGAAATTGAGGGTGATATAGAACATGATGCTACCTCCAGACTTATAGGTGGGCACAGAGCATGGGTAGGGGTCGAACCAGCCTGTGGGGTCCTGCCCCAGCCTGTGACTGTCCGCTTTGCAGATGTGGGAACTCTCTGTGGGGGACAGAGACTGAAGCTTTCTCCTTTAGGCTAATGGCAGTGTGGCCCATCCCCTTTCTCAGGCTCCACCATCATGGCTGAACGGGGTGGCCCGTCTCTCCCCTGCTCACCTGCCTCCACTCCGACCTCGCCCAGTGCCCTGGGCAGCCGCCTCTCTGACTCGCTGCTCAGCACCTGCGGTTCTGGGCCCCTGGGTGGCTCTGCTGGCGGTGAGTACCAAGGCCCTGTGGGTGGGTCAGTGCTTCTCTCTGTGTCCTATAGAGAGGGACAGTACAGGCTTCATTAGGGATGGGATCAGAGAGGCTGGGGACTGGGGGTGCTCACCAGGGGACTTCCCCCCACCCTCTCTCTCGTTTTTCGAGACAGGGTTTCTCTGTGTAGCCCTGGCTGTCCTGGAACTCACTCTGTAGACCAGGCTGGCCTCGAACTCAGAAATCCGCCTGCCTCTGCCTCCCAAGTGCTGAGATTAAAGGCGTGCGCCACCACCGCCCGGCTTTTTTTTTTTTTTTTATACTTTCTAAAAAAAAAGTATTTGTAATTATTTTAAAATTTTGAATGTGTGTGTGTGTGTGTGTGTGTGTGTGTGTGTGTGTACATGAATGTGCAGACATGAATGTGTGCAGTACCTATTGAGGTCAGAGGATGTGGATCCCCCAGTTAGAGGCTCACTAGTGTGGGTGCAGGGAACTGACCTCAGGTCCTCTGGAAGAGCAGCAAGCCTCGTAGCGGTTGACAGAGCTCTCCAGATGTGTAGTTGTGGCTTTTTTTCCTTTTTTTTTTTAAAGATTTATTTTAAAGTGTGCTTGTGTGTGTGTGCGTGTGTGTGTTAGCAGCAAGGTTTGTGGAGCCCAGAAGAGATTATCTGATCTCCCAGGGGACTTCTTAAAGTGCACATAGGGGATGCTAAGTATGTACAGGAGGATCTCGCGCCTTGAACGACTTAGGAAGTCCTTTTTCCTCTTTCCTCCTTTCCTCTTACTGCTGCTCTGGCCCTGGTCTGGGGCTGTGTGGCCAGAGCCAGGCTGCTGGAGTTCATCTCTTTCCCTGGGCAGGAAGGTGGGTTGTCAGTGTGGACAGTTGGCTTTCCATAGTGGAGGAAGACATGAGCCCAGGAGCCCTTTTCGCCTGTGAGAAGGCCCCATGCTGGGCTGGGTTGCATCCCCTTTTGATTGGTGCTTTTGCTCTCAGGGACAGCCCCCAACTCACCGGTGAGCCTGCCCGAGTCACCGGTGACCCCAGGTATGGGCCAGTGGAGCGATGAATGCACCATTTGCTATGAACACGCAGTGGATACAGTCATCTACACGTGTGGCCACATGTGCCTGTGCTACGCCTGTGGCCTGCGCCTCAAGAAGGCCCTGCACGCCTGCTGTCCCATCTGCCGTCGCCCCATCAAGGACATCATCAAGACCTACCGCAGTTCCTAGCCCCACCTGCACGCCCACTTCTGCAGACCGCAGCCCAGCACCAGCTGAGGGCAAAGCCAACAGGGTCCCTTCCTTCTACAGTTCGCAAACTCTTCCTCCTTTTCCATTAAACATGGGAAACCAAGGTCCCTGAAGGTTTGGGCTGAGAGGGTCTTAGGCAGGGAGGTGGGAGCACAAGCAGTTCATAATGAGTGGAGGGGAGAGGAGAAGGGTACCCCACAATCTCTCTCCTCTTTACCCAGATTTCTGAGAGGCTGAAGTAGAGTCTCAGCTAGTTGCCATCCCTCCCATCTAGGCAGATTTCTAGGTTGTCCAGCTCGGGTGGCATCTCGGAGAGAGTCAGCAAACATGTAGCTTCTCCTGGGCAGCTGGGGAGGAGGCCAGTGGACTCCTTACACCCTGGGCAGCTGCAAACTGCATGCCGCGTCTTTCTCCTTACCCAGACTGGGTAAACAGACAGGCTGCAGATTCCAGGTCCTAGGTCCTTGACCTTGTGTCAATCTGACACGTTCAGGACCTCCCGTTTGCCATGACTTTCACCAATCATCTCACTGGTGCCGTTTCCCAGGGTGCCCTTCAGTATAGGCTGACGTGGGCATTTCTGTTGTCAGGGTCTCGGAAGAACAGGTCCACAGCCACACTTAAGGCCTGTTCTCCCTCATCTCAGTGCCAGCCTTGGCCTGGGCTGATCCTGCCATCATGTGCCCAGGAGGGACAAGAACCCTCAGTAGGGTGGGGGTTTCCTGGCCTGTGGACAGCCCTTTTCCTTATTTTAATTTATTTATTTATTTGGTTTATGGGTTTTGTTTATGAGTTATGTTCCAATCCGGGGTCTCCTAAAATGTTACTGTTGGGGGGTTGACAGGTGAAGGGAAGCAAGAAATAGCCACTGAGAATCTACCCCCAGCATATGGCTCATGGGCAGTCCTGCTAACCCTGAGGTAGAATTCCAGGCTGGAGGCCTCCCAGGAGGTGGAGGCGCCCTTCCTCCCTGAGTGGGAGCACCCATTAGTGTGGCTGGTTCCAGAGCATCCACCTCTACAAAGACATCAGAAGTTCTGGAAGGTCAGGGAAGGTTGTTAACATGTGGGTCAGGGACCAGAATGGAGACCCTTGTCAGAAGAGGGAGGATAGATCCTGAAAGCCAGGCTCCGGTCCTGCTAAGGGGGTGTCCGTTACTTATAGGCCATGGCCCCTGTCCTACCTGCCTGTTCTGGGTTACTGTGGCGTCTTAGCCTAGGCTTTCCAGGCCTTTCAGTCCTTGGCCCTCCTATGGCTGTTTTTTATCTCCTCAGAGGTGGCTTCTGCCTTGAAAGGCCGGATCTGGGTCTCTGTCCTGGCCACTAGCCAGTCATGTGGCTCTGACCACAGGTCACCTCCACCCCCAAACTCCAGGTTCCCCTGGGTAAAAGTTTGGGGGTGGAATACTTTCTATGTAGTTCCTGGGAGTTCTTCTCAGGTGTCTCTTCAGAGGAATGTACTGGGGAGGCGTTGAGAATGGATGCCAGGGTGGGCCTTTGCCTGGACCAGGGAATCTGGGCCACCCTCAGTCTCCAGTCACTGGCCCTGGCAGAGTCCTTCAGGCTGGAGCTGGTAAGTTGCCCCGTCTAGCTAGGGCCCATCCTAGCAATGGCGAAAGGTCCTAGTACAGAGCTGTGAGGCCGGAAGTGGGAAAAGAAGCCATTGTTCATTCAGAGGTAGCACTGCCTCCCCTGTGAACTGGGTCACTGTGTTTGTGAATAAAGGTGATTTCGTACCAGCCCGAGGGCTGTGCTGTGCCTCTGGAGGTTGGGAGGGGAACCAGTGTTTGAGCACACCTGAGAGGTTAAGAGCTATCTCGAACAGCCCCAGTCTCTCTCTCTCCTGTAACCGTAGACCACCTCCCCAAACCCTAAAGGGCCTGTAACAGAGAAGCCGCCTTAGAGTCAGCCTTTGGAGCATGGCATGGGGTTCACACAGTGGGGTCCATAATACCAAGCAAGCCTTTTAAGTTGGGAAGCTGCTGCTGCCCTTCTGGTGGTCTCAGGACTTTGAGTTGGGGGAGGGGGCTGGAAGAGGGAAGAACAGTGTTGGGTGCCAAGCAAGGGAAGTTACACTCCTGCTATGTTGTTTCCTTTCAGGCCAGAGATTCTGGGAGGTGAGTATCGCCACCTAGGGACTACTAGGGGAATGACAGGTCAACCCTGTGGGCTGGGGCGGGAAAGAGGTAGGTAGAGTGGGCCTAAGGTTAGAACTGCACATTTGCCCAGGCCTCAGAGATATGTGGGATACCTACCTACACCCTTTCCTGGAAGGAGGCTTTGGCCACCTAGTCTTAGCCTGTCTTTGAACTGACTTCAGGTCCATGTTTTCCTACTTACTAGAGACTATAACACAACTAGCTAAGGCCCAAGGGTCCATCTGTGGCTGCTCTCAGAAAGCTGCCTACAAGTGGGAAGCTCCTGTGTGAACTGACCCCTCCCTCCTTCAGCCCATCCCATGGTCAGTTCTCGAGTTGGCCAGTTTGGGCGAGTGAGGCTTTTGCTAGCCAACTGAATGGGTCCTCCGGTGCCAGAGAGAATCACATGATTCTGTTCCGTTAAAAAGGCCAAAAACTTTATTTAGTTTTTAGGGAAATACAATTATGCCTGTAAACATAAAATATGAAACAAAACAATCCAAATTTTAAAGTCTAGAAGCATGCCAAGACAGGTCATTCCTACAGACCAAAGAGTCCCACCAAAGTGATAAAGGACACCCGGAAAGGAGCAGGTCAAGGGGGCTGGGTCCCTCCCCCGGTGACACCTTGTGTTTGTGATGATAAAAGAAAATCCACAATTAATATGATAAGAAACATGGAGATAGTTTAGCACCACCGAGGATCCTGGAGATATGTTAGCACTTGCATGGACCCTTACTGCACCCAATGTCCTTGTCTCCGTTCCTCTGCTGAGGTGGGGAGGGGAGGGCTGGGGGAAGGGCTCCTGCTGACCACAGTAAGCTGGCTGGGAATGAGTGGACACTAGGAAGCCCTTGTGATTTAGGAGTCCCAGTGACATCCACCTGCTTGTTCTTGCCGCTCACACTTGCCTTAGAAGAGGCCTTCCAGGCCTCTCAGTAACTGAGGGACACCCGTGTCCTCTGTTGCGGGAGATAAGTTGTATGGCAACTGTGTACCCTCTGAAGTAAACTCAGAAGCACTATGCTTCAGTGGAAGCAGGAGGCTGGTGCGCTCACCTGGTCGGACTGGCAGCAGGAAGCCGACTCAGCAATTAGAGCCATAGGTTTCATCGGAGCCTTGGGAATAAATGTCCAAATGAGGTCACCTGCCTCCTGAATAGTTCTGGGCTTTTAAGTTCTAGTGTGGAGGTGTTGGGTCCCAACTGTGTGGCCTACTATGGTCAGTGGTCTCTAATTTGAATGGTTTGACAGGCTACCTCTGCATTGGACAAAATGCACTGGGCAAAGCCTGCTGGGAATCTGGGATGGGAATGGGCCCCGAGACCTGAAGACTGGCTTATGACTTGCAGCACCTCTTCCTTAAGACAAAGATCCTGGAAGCCCGGGTCGGGCCCAGTGAGTGAGTTTTCTTTATCTGGACTCTTGGCTGGTGATAACAAAAATCCCTGCAAACCTCTCGCTTTCAATCACCGAGAACGGACTCCTTCCTGCTCCAAACCCTCTACAGCTCCAAATTCTGCTTCTCAGCCTTCCCATACCTGTCTAAAAGACATCGCTGGAAGCTTCTGCCCTGTGCAAGGACAGTAAGCCCCAGTGATTCCAAACATGCACACTCATCTTGCCAACATACCTCCCTCGAGCTTTCCAACATGCCAGATACATTCGTTTGCACTAATGCAATTCTTTCACACTTCCAAAGACACAGCCGATTGTCCAGAGTGAGACTTGGAGTAAGGCAGGGACCTTCAGCACCGGGGACCTCACTCTAAGGCAGCAGAGTCCTAGGATTGCAAGAGGGGAGGTGTACTGACTGTCAAGGTCACTTGAGATTTAGAGAGGGGAGGGGGTGGGGGGTCACATGCCAGTCCCTTGCATCCAGGTTGGGATCAAGGATTTGGAAAGATCCTTCCATTCAATCTACAAGCACCAATGTAACTACTCTGTGGCCTGGGGACAAACATGCACGGAACAACGTGACCAGCAGTGACCTGTCCTATTTATCATGGGCTCTCAGCATGGAGCTCAGAAACACTCACAGACTAAGGCTTGCTGTGGAGACAGGAGGCACCTCTGTGTAGACAGCTGCAGGCCCTACAGTCTCACCACGAGCACCTCCTCAACCTGCGTCTCCTTCAGAAACAAAGCAAGACCCAGCAGCTCTTGGATCCCTCGGGGGTTCTCACACCAAGGATAGGATGCAGGTGGGTGCCCTAATTTAACCACCCCAGCACTTCTGTACTCAACAGTACCTCTTCCATGTCTTCATCTTGGTGCCCGGGACAATGGCCTCGGGCTGCTTCCGTTAGCTCTGTTAATACCAGTGTGAAGTTTCCAACTAAATAAAATAATTACAAAAAAAAAATTAAAAGACACATTGCACTCTCCAGCCAGAATTGTGTGAATGACACACCTGCTGCCAGAAGCTGTAAGTCCCTTGGGACCTGCCCAATGCCAAGGACTAGTTCAATGGAGACTGCATGCCCGGTACTTATTTTCTCTAACCCCATGCTATTTAGTTCAAGTGGGAAGTTACCACCAGTCTCAGTCAGAGTCTCAGTCTCTCTCTCTCTCTCTCTCTCTCTCTCTCTCTCTCTCTCTCT